TTGGTGCACCAGATCGTTCTTTATCTTCAACATCAAAATCATTATTTTTGAAGCGTCTAAACCAATCTCTGCATGTTGTTTCCGACAGAGCATGGTCGCCGTAAGTCTCAACAAGAATTCTGTGTGCTTCTGCTGCAGATTTTTTTTGAATAAAATAGTGCAATAAAATTCCCCGCAAATACTCTTTTTTTGGCACGAAACTAGACATGTTTAACACAATGAAAAAATAAGTTGTTTACACTTCGGTGAAATGACATATACTGAATTTCAAGGTCACTTATTGTACCTCCTTACAGATGTGTCACCATCTAAAACTAAACACACGTGGTTCTGGTAACGCCATCTGTTGGAAAACAGCGAGAACTTATTCAAGGTCCTTATAGATTCAGATTAGTTAATCTGCTTCAGTTAGAACTTCAAAACTTCATTTGATGACTTTGCTAATTCAGTATCAGCAGAGCAAATTACAAATTAAAACATTAAAAAAAATCATTATGAGTAAAATTTGCTTGAAAAACAATGATCCAAAAATTGTAAAATAAAGATTTTTAAAAGCTAGCAATATTTTGACAATTTTAAAATATGTTTTGAAGATAAATAAGTTGTTCAAGATTTTAATTATTTAAAACACATTTCATAGTATACAAAAAATAAGTTATTTAAATCTGACATAATTTGACTTCATTTTTGAACTATCATCAAAAAATAATAATAAATTTTGGAATCCAACTGTTATCTTTAAATATAATTAAAAAATTTGTGCAGTATTCATTTTTTGTATTATATGCAACAGAAATTGGTTCTGTATCTGTTGTACAGTACCTGAACATTTGTTGAACTGCTTGCTTCAGTTGTATTTGAAATTACTGTTAATACTTCAACCGGTACTTCAATCTGTAAAATGAAAATTTATTTCTTTCATGCTCAAATTTACAGTCAAATTTATCAGTAATATATAATTATTACAGCTATTATTTAGCCTGATGTCATACAGTAGTTGTAGCTTTATTGTAATGTAATGGGTTTTGTAAAGATGTTTATATTTGTATATATATGCCTTGCCAGATATGCGATGGCTGGCTGAATACCTTATATGGAAGTTTACAGGACAAGGGTGCTGAATGTGTCCTCAGTCAGCACTGTGATAACTGATGATGGTTATATCATAATGTTAAATACACTGGAAGAGGAAATCGGACTGGAGGCCCAGGTAGCATAATTGGCAACACATCTGCACGGCAAGTGGCAGTTGCTGGTTTGAGTCTGCTCTGAGCCGATTCTTTTCTTCCAGTTTAATCTAAAATTATTTAATTAAATTATAATTATTAAATATAATATGAGATGGTGCCTAATGCCTCCCTCTAAGGTCAAATTTATCAGTAATTTATAATTATTATAGCCATTATTTAGCCCGATGTCATATGGCAGTTATAGCTTTATTATAATTTACAAAATTAAGTTAAATTTAGAAATTAGTTAATAATATGACATAATTTATAAGGACCTTGAATAAGTTCTCGCTGTTTTTTTGTGAAAATTAACACTTTATTTTAAAAAAGTCGTAATAAACACGTCACTGAAAGTATTGTCCATCACTAGCCACTACTTTCTCCCATCGTTCTGGCAGCATTTGAATTCCATGTCGGAAAAACGACACGTTTTTTGAGGCTATCCAAGAATCAACCCATTTTTTGGCATCTTCATNACACAGTATAAACAAGAAGACTCAAGCAGCTAAACGAATTAATCAAATTCCCATAGAAACCTATAGTAAATCGATAATTGGTTAACGAACAATTCGGATAGTGAGCAAAGTCTTGGAACGGATTATGTTCATTAACTGATCACCCACTGTATAGAGATTAAAGTCAGATTATAGTATAATAAATTTGGCGAAAAACTAATGTTTATTTTAAAATACTGGCAATTTCTAATATTAACACTAAAATATTTCTGCAAATTAATAATAAAAATCTGCTATAATTTAAGAAAATGGAGTTATATTCATTATTTATATTTCTGCAAAGCTGTTTGATTTAAAATTCAAATACTTTGAGATGCAAGATACTAATCCAGTTATCAATTTGTTAATATATTGTTTGGTAAAACTGAAATTTCATTAGCAAAATAAATATCAGTCTATAATTGCTTTAGATATTCTAAATGCACAAACTCTTCAATACTAAATAAATAAATGTTTTTTGCATTATAATATTCTTTAACCTGGATTTATGTTTACATCAGTATCGATTAGATATAAAGCAATAAATACTTTTTAAAAAAGTTTGAAATCAAGTTGTCTGTGACCTAAAAATAAATTATAATAGCAAAACCTAATTCTAGATGTCATTATTATTAACAGAAATAAAACAAGAAAAATGGCCGCAATAGATATTATATACCAGGGATGGCCGACTGGTCGACCGCAAAGGTTTTGAAAGTAGCCCACGAAGCTAAAGTTGAACAATTTACTTTCACTTAAATTAATGTTTAAAAATCTTAATTCGATAATTTATTCTTACAATATTAGACTGTCTGTGCAATGTACCCATACCGTTTGTATTTATCTCGATGAACAATGCAAATGAATGTTAACGCATGCGCATATAAAAATCCTAAAATTGTTTGCCCATATTCATAGTCGTCCGCAGATTACATTTTACCAAAAAAGTAGCCCCTAAGGGATAAAAGTTTGGCCACACCTGTTATATACACTTTCATATATTCTAACAAACAATTGACAGAAAAGTTCAATAGCAATAATAACAAAATATAAATTTATAAATTAGTAAGGCATTTTGCACATTTTTCCAAACTTCACAGCTTCATTCAATATTAGAATTCCATCTTTAAATCCACTAACAAATACATTCTGAACAAATATAATATTTCTTGAAACATGCTTTGTATAATGTTTGAAACAGAATTAAGAAATTAAATCAAACTAATTTTATTTGTAGTTTAAATTTGATTTCTTTTACCCAATTAAGCCATTTTGTTTCACTTTACAGTATTTTGGTTTTTATCATCTTTAAATTTGCTTTCTTGGGAGTGAATGAAGAGATTTATTAAATTAATGATATCAGGCATATTTTATAATACTAACATAATAAGGATATCTAAATAATTTGTATTGTTAATTTTATCTATGAATAATGTTGTTAGAGAATTATAAAGTTTTCTTTCCACATGTTTAGTAGTCCTAAATTGTTATAAAATGAATTCAAGAAATACAGACCAATTTTTATATATACAGGGTGTATAACTTCTCCATATATGTTCTTTTCTTTGCAGTTTGTTTAAATGGCAATGAAATTGTCTTTGGAACAAAGAAGAAAGATTGTCACATGGATGAAGATATTCCAATCATAGTGGATTTGCAAGAAATAAATAGAAAATTTGAACTGTGACCCACCCTTAAGAGTGACTATTTATTCAGTTTACAATAAATTCATCAAAACTGGCTCAGTTGATAATGATGACAAAGTAAACACTAGTTGACATAAACAGACCAATTCCATCTAAACATTGCAGTTGCACAAGACATGTTCTTACGTAGCCCTGATAATCAACCAGATGATACAACATAGAATGTGATCTTCCATAGGCAACTATGTAAAAAATCTAAGTATTTAGGAATGCATTTGTAGATTGTATAGATGTTGTTTAGTGCAGACAAACTGCTTGAGTTGATGCTTGTGGCATTTCCCTATAAAGTTTTGACCTAACATTCACACTTTAGTAGTCTTCAGAAACAAAGCAACTAACTTTCCATGTAAGTGAACAAATGAACAAACACAACTGTGTTTTCTGGAGCACTAAAGAATCCTCAAATTGTGCATAAGCACAAACAAAACAGCCCCAAAGTGAATGTCTGGTAAACAGTCACTGCACTAATGTAATAGGGCCATAGTTTTTGAAATTCTGCAAACAGCAGTTGTGACTTCTTGCTTGTTATGGAAAACTATGCAGAGGAAAGCCTGCTACTAGAAATTTGGCATACTGAATGCTTCCCTGTTGGATGGTATTTCATCCACTATGCTGTGAGTGTTTGTACAGTACCTACCTTAACTGGGAATTCAGATGGAGATGGATTGTATGATCAAGGACTCAAACATGGCCTCCAGACCTCAAGCCACAATCTCTGGTTATGAAGGAGGAAAAAATGTTTAAAGTCAATCATGAGAAGTGGATTGATACTGGGAAATTTATTTTTAAATTTGAATGTTCTGTTCTATATGCTATTGGTTAAATCTAAAGATGTTTTAAATATGAAAGCATTTGTTTGTAGTAAAGTTCTTTTTCTTTTACTAGATATTGATGTTAGTGTCTCTATTTTACTTAAACATGTTTATGCTACAAAACCATGTAATATGCAAGATCTCCATCAAAGTTGATAATGTGATTGCAGCAATATGCAGAGAAATGTGCTTCAGAGCTCTTGAGACTACCTGAAGAAGATTCCAAGAATATATATTCCAAGAATATATTAATAAATAGTGATAAACAAGTGGAAACTTCTTGTTAATATGATATATATTGTGCTATCAGTTCTATTTCTATAAACAACTTACTTCCTTAATAATACAATAGAGCATCGATTATCCAACTCAATTGGGGACTCAGGTTGGTCGGATAACTGAAAAAATCAGATAACCGAAAAGAAGGGAAAAGATACATTATTAGTAGAGTATATTAGGATATTAGTATATCCCATGTAATTAGTTTATTAGTATATTGCTATTAACCAACTTTGCGTTGAATTTTCATCAATGTTTAGCCTAACAAATTTTTAAAAAATTGTCACTATTGTATTGTTAAAAATTTTTAAATTGTTTTATTGCTCATGAAACAAACAACCATTCATAATTAGGAAATTAAGTCTCGTTTAAATACTGGCCTCCCTTCAATGCTCGAGCCGTTGATGCCAGCTAAAACACGCAAAAATTTAACAAAAATAATATTAAAGTAGCCAAGACATAGCCAAATATTGTAATGCCACCTCACTAGTGGACATTTGAAATTTGCCAACTAGAACGGTCGGTTAACCGATGTGACGGTTAATCGGGGGTCGGATAATCGATGCTCTACTGTATTACATTTTAGTAATACAAAGTCCTTCAAAAAATGTTACTGTGCTATTTCTAATAATATTCCTTGAGTATATTATACTTTTAATTACATTGCAGTAATATACTTTATTACAATAAGCAATTAAATGTATGTTTAAATCTCTCATTCTTCTTCATAAAATAAATAATTTAATACAATATTATATTTATAAATATCTCAAAATAGTTTAAATATTAATTTTATTGGTTAATTTATATACTGTAATTACTTGAATTTTACCTATTACTGTTGTTTTGAACTAGAAATGTAAAATGCCATCAATTCTGAGGCAATCAGAAATCATATAATGCATTATGCACTAATAACAGTGTTTTTGGCTATACTGCTCAGTGATCATACTAATTCACATGAGCTTTGTGGTAACAAGCATTTCATTTAAACTTTGTTTTTAAACATTTATTATGGTATTAATTTAAAGAAAAATCATATTTGAAGAAATGCATGAAAATAAAGCTGCTAAACATTGTCTATTTCAAGACATTTACATTTTTTTCTAACTTCTTGTTATTTAACAAAATTTAACAAAAAGTGACCATTTAAAACTTTTACTCCATAAAAAGAAACCGTAAAATTCAATTTTAAATGCATCAATTTTAGAATCAAAAATATAGTAACTTACTAAAAAATTACTAAAATACACATGTACATAATAAGATAATAAAAATACAATACTAACATAATGTAAGATCTCAGATGCCCAGTTCTGAACCAGATGCTCTATAATTTGTTTCTCTCAATTTATCATCATATTTATTATCTGGTTACTTGAGTCTACTCAACTAGTATTTTTTAATGACAATCTAATAATAATTAGAGTGGTAATGACAGCCAGTTTGCACAGTAAAAAATATTTATTAGAAATACTTTATATGATAGATTATTAAAAATTAATATTAAATTTACTTTATTTTAATATTAAAATATTAAAAAAAGTAAATTTATTAGAAAAGTATTCAAATATTCAATAAATAATTATAATATAAACCTTAATTTTGTATTCATTCATACTCATGTAACTTTCTTTTTTGAAAATCATTACATTTGGAAAAATGAGACAGCAGAACATTAACAGTATATCATCATAAATTCAGTTCTTATTCCCAGTGGTCACCTTTTTAACATCTTTAGGCCTTTTGAATTTCTTAGTGAATTAAATTTTGAGATATTTAATAATTATTAAAAACTATTGATATACAATATATATAATTTAAAACCTTTTCATTAAAATATGATATTTCATTTTATAATTTGAAGATATTATTATATTATGTCAAATCTAATATTTTAATAATTTTAGGTATTTTCAAATTTATTAAATTAAACATAAGCTACAATATTTTAAACATAATATTCTTTTATGCACTATATCATATCTTTTTATATTTATAAAAATAACATATATAACATTATTTTTAAAATCTACCCTCCTTCAATAATTATTAGGAATGCAACAATTTTATTAATTAAATGATAATTAGCTATCTTTAATTAAATTATTACTAAATATTTCATTGTTTTTGTGACAAAATTTAATTAATATATTTGCTTTTGTATTTTATTATTAAATATATGTTTAGTTATTGTTTAGCTAAAATTTACATTAAATTTTTACAGAGTATACAATCTTTATAAAATAAGATTATGTGCATGCTATAAATTTATTATTATTTGAAAATAATAAATATTCAATCACTAGTTATAAATTGCAACTAAGAATACTACATTTTTTAATGGATTTATTCTGCCAGAACTGAATGCAATGTAAACTATAATCTAACAGTTCATACAATATTAAATTCTGTATTCATTATTGACAAAATGACAAAATAAAGATGATAAAAAATTAAAATATTGTAATAAGAGTTTTTACAACATTATTAAATCATATAAATTAAAATGGAATTGCATTATGTTAAATTTGCAAACAAAATGTAACTTGTATTTAAATAATCAAACAAATGATTTCATGTATTCAAACATGTTTTACCATCCAGTTTTTAATAAGTGTAGTCTTTTAAATTAAGCAGTCCAATACAGTCAAAACCTTGGTTTTTGAACAACTGATTTTTCAAAGAAATCAGTTCATGAACAGAATTTTGAACTCATAATTAAATGGTTGCCAAACAAGCTACTCAGCAAGAACCAACCACAGATTAGAGAGAACACAGATGGTCAACTCCCTATACTTCCTACGTTAAAGAAAACAATGGCCTGACCAATCAAGGACAGGATTACTGATTCAGAAGTTAGCGGTGACAAGATTGCCTTGCATCATTATAGGTCATGACACAAATCATAAAGGATGTTGCTATTTATATTAGATTTCAAGGCACATGTAGGAAAGTTACTAATTCCATTTTTCAGTATGTGCTGCAGTTGAATGTAAATTAAATTAATTAATAAAAACTGTGTTAGTTGACATTCACATAATATAAATGGCATCGAAGAATTTGTGTTTAATTATGCTTAAGTCAAATTAAATAACAAAAATTTACTATTAAATATAATTTATTTTTTATATTATTTCTCATTAGTACACAACTAGCATTCAGCATTATATTTAACAGTATTAATTAAATGCAAGAACTTTTAATGAACATCTTTTGGAAGGTAATAAATACAGCTTTAATCCATTTTGTATTGTTTCTTACAGGAAAATTTGTTTGAGTTTGAGAACAACTTTTAAGAATGAATTATGTTCAAAAACTGAGGTTTAACTGTAGTTGAATTATATTCTTTACTTAAATGCAAAATAGATAATTCCTGTATTATTTGCCATATTAATTATTATTTTATTTTTAAAACTGTAATTTGTTTCAATAATATAGTTGATTTAACAAAATTATATTGTTATGTTTTCCTTCCTCACATTCAATTATTAGTTTCCTGTTTTCATTTTAATTGTACATTTAAAAACAATACAGCTATTTATGTTATTTAAATAAATCAATATTAAATAAATTAATTACTGAACAATTACAAAGTCTTGTTTTCAGATATTATAATTTTCGATTTTTCAAGGTCCATTTAAATTAATATGAAATCAAAAAACTAAATTATGTTTTTAAATTAATATTATAATGAAAAATACATTTAATATTGCATAAGCATGTTTTTTTTAAATTGCTTTATTTTCTTATANTGCAATAAAATTCCCCGCAAATACTCTTTTTTTGGCACGAAACTAGACATGTTTAACACAATGAAAAAATAAGTTGTTTACACTTCGGTGAAATGACATATACTGAATTTCAAGGTCACTTATTGTACCTCCTTACAGATGTGTCACCATCTAAAACTAAACACACGTGGTTCTGGTAACGCCATCTGTTGGAAAACAGCGAGAACTTATTCAAGGTCCTTATAGATTCAGATTAGTTAATCTGCTTCAGTTAGAACTTCAAAACTTCATTTGATGACTTTGCTAATTCAGTATCAGCAGAGCAAATTACAAATTAAAACATTAAAAAAAATCATTATGAGTAAAATTTGCTTGAAAAACAATGATCCAAAAATTGTAAAATAAAGATTTTTAAAAGCTAGCAATATTTTGACAATTTTAAAATATGTTTTGAAGATAAATAAGTTGTTCAAGATTTTAATTATTTAAAACACATTTCATAGTATACAAAAAATAAGTTATTTAAATCTGACATAATTTGACTTCATTTTTGAACTATCATCAAAAAATAATAATAAATTTTGGAATCCAACTGTTATCTTTAAATATAATTAAAAAATTTGTGCAGTATTCATTTTTTGTATTATATGCAACAGAAATTGGTTCTGTATCTGTTGTACAGTACAATATATTTGTGTGCGGAGTGTTATGTATATTATAATTTAAAAGGCTGTAATAGATTAAAAACACTTAAACTTTTTAACAGAAAAAATTTGATACATTTGTATTTTTAAATGTATTTTTCCAATTAAATTTTCAAGAAGATTTATTTGAAAGGGCAATACATTTTTGTAAAGGCTGTGATATTGCATGTGTACTGCTGCTGTCATGAGAATCTTCCACTCCATGCTTCACTACTGCAGTAGCAATATCATCTATTTTCAGATATCCAATTGGTTTGCAACCCTATCCCAGTAGCAATATCATCTATTTTCAGATATCCAATTGGTTTGCAACCCTATCCCAGTTTCAAAGCAAATGTTCAAAATCTTTTCAAAACACAAAATGATTTCCTTAAAACTTCCAATAGTCAGAGGATCTCTTCATAAACCTTAAGTGCTGAGCTGGCCTGCTGTTTCATTGGTCTGGTTTTATTCATGTATGGCAATGTGACAAATGGGCAATCTACCAAAAGGAAATGCCTCCTGGGAGGTCTTTCATGGAAAACTGGGTCCTATTTAGGTGTTATTAACATGAAGAAAATCAGAAAACTCCATGTGATTAACCCATTGGTAAGATACAAATCCATGACCAACTACCAGTACTCAGTGATTTTATTCACTTTGCTGCTGGTTGTTTCATTGGTAGAAGAGTTTAGTGCAGGCATAGCCAACATACGGCTTGAAGGCCAGATCCAGCCCATCTAAAAGGAAAAAAAAAAAAAAAAAAGGTCAACAACTCACTATGCGTTTAGAGTTAACGCTCCATTACAAATCTCTTAAGCACAGCATAGAATGTTGATAATGGATAATGCATGATAATGTGAAAAATGTATCTGTAATCTCTATCTACAATTCAGTCGCTACGGAGTGACACCACAATGAGATCTCGCACCATCTCAAAATCTTCCTAGGGCAGCCTCTGGTTCGGCCCATGGAAAAAGTTTTCTTTCCAATTTGGCCCAGGGGCAAAAACTGTTGCCCAGCCCTGGTTTAATGTATAATGTTTCATTACTTCTTTTATATTCAGGATTTGTTAAAAAACATACATAATATGCACATAAGGAGACAGCAGTGCTAAATTTCACCCTACATTAAATTTTGAACTAAACTTTTATCCTGCAAATTGAAACCACACAGTCAGGATAGTGTGTATAAAAAATTTGGTTGAGATATGCCCAACAGTTCTTTCTTCAGAGAACTCTAAATACTTATTCTTTAAATTAACTGTAATTATGGATCACCCTATATTTTAATAACCAAATTTTAATCTTAAAACAGAGTTAAAAACAGCATTGTCTTAAGTTATTAACAATATCATTATTAAAAAATCATGTAAAGTCACTTCCCAAAATGTTAGAATAAAAAGTTTTTATATGTTTATCAACGGAATATATCAGATTTGAATCAGAATGTAAGCATAAACTTTTTACTTTATCAAGATTTATCAGACTAAAAAGAAATTTATTGAAAAACCTTATATATAAAAATTCTTATAAAAAGAAAAATCTTTTAGTTTTTAAAGAGTATCATTCTGTAGTATCATCCAGCATTTTAATGGTATTGGATTGAATGCAAGAATGTAACAACAAACTTACTACTGGTAAACCTGTCTAAAATCACAATATTGTAACTGAAATTTTTTAAAAAATTCAATTGAGTTTAATAATAATTAAAATAATATATTTAACAAACATTAAATTATATGAAATGAACAAAAACAGAAACTGTTTACTGCAAAATAACTTGTTGTAGATGCCCACCTTAAAAACTGAATGCAATTATTTTGAATTATATTTTTGATTTCACAAAGATAAAAATTTTTTACTATAATGTTNTCAAAATAGTTTAAATATTAATTTTATTGGTTAATTTATATACTGTAATTACTTGAATTTTACCTATTACTGTTGTTTTGAACTAGAAATGTAAAATGCCATCAATTCTGAGGCAATCAGAAATCATATAATGCATTATGCACTAATAACAGTGTTTTTGGCTATACTGCTCAGTGATCATACTAATTCACATGAGCTTTGTGGTAACAAGCATTTCATTTAAACTTTGTTTTTAAACATTTATTATGGTATTAATTTAAAGAAAAATCATATTTGAAGAAATGCATGAAAATAAAGCTGCTAAACATTGTCTATTTCAAGACATTTACATTTTTTTCTAACTTCTTGTTATTTAACAAAATTTAACAAAAAGTGACCATTTAAAACTTTTACTCCATAAAAAGAAACCGTAAAATTCAATTTTAAATGCATCAATTTTAGAATCAAAAATATAGTAACTTACTAAAAAATTACTAAAATACACATGTACATAATAAGATAATAAAAATACAATACTAACATAATGTAAGATCTCAGATGCCCAGTTCTGAACCAGATGCTCTATAATTTGTTTCTCTCAATTTATCATCATATTTATTATCTGGTTACTTGAGTCTACTCAACTAGTATTTTTTAATGACAATCTAATAATAATTAGAGTGGTAATGACAGCCAGTTTGCACAGTAAAAAATATTTATTAGAAATACTTTATATGATAGATTATTAAAAATTAATATTAAATTTACTTTATTTTAATATTAAAATATTAAAAAAAGTAAATTTATTAGAAAAGTATTCAAATATTCAATAAATAATTATAATATAAACCTTAATTTTGTATTCATTCATACTCATGTAACTTTCTTTTTTGAAAATCATTACATTTGGAAAAATGAGACAGCAGAACATTAACAGTATATCATCATAAATTCAGTTCTTATTCCCAGTGGTCACCTTTTTAACATCTTTAGGCCTTTTGAATTTCTTAGTGAATTAAATTTTGAGATATTTAATAATTATTAAAAACTATTGATATACAATATATATAATTTAAAACCTTTTCATTAAAATATGATATTTCATTTTATAATTTGAAGATATTATTATATTATGTCAAATCTAATATTTTAATAATTTTAGGTATTTTCAAATTTATTAAATTAAACATAAGCTACAATATTTTAAACATAATATTCTTTTATGCACTATATCATATCTTTTTATATTTATAAAAATAACATATATAACATTATTTTTAAAATCTACCCTCCTTCAATAATTATTAGGAATGCAACAATTTTATTAATTAAATGATAATTAGCTATCTTTAATTAAATTATTACTAAATATTTCATTGTTTTTGTGACAAAATTTAATTAATATATTTGCTTTTGTATTTTATTATTAAATATATGTTTAGTTATTGTTTAGCTAAAATTTACATTAAATTTTTACAGAGTATACAATCTTTATAAAATAAGATTATGTGCATGCTATAAATTTATTATTATTTGAAAATAATAAATATTCAATCACTAGTTATAAATTGCAACTAAGAATACTACATTTTTTAATGGATTTATTCTGCCAGAACTGAATGCAATGTAAACTATAATCTAACAGTTCATACAATATTAAATTCTGTATTCATTATTGACAAAATGACAAAATAAAGATGATAAAAAATTAAAATATTGTAATAAGAGTTTTTACAACATTATTAAATCATATAAATTAAAATGGAATTGCATTATGTTAAATTTGCAAACAAAATGTAACTTGTATTTAAATAATCAAACAAATGATTTCATGTATTCAAACATGTTTTACCATCCAGTTTTTAATAAGTGTAGTCTTTTAAATTAAGCAGTCCAATACAGTCAAAACCTTGGTTTTTGAACAACTGATTTTTCAAAGAAATCAGTTCATGAACAGAATTTTGAACTCATAATTAAATGGTTGCCAAACAAGCTACTCAGCAAGAACCAACCACAGATTAGAGAGAACACAGATGGTCAACTCCCTATACTTCCTACGTTAAAGAAAACAATGGCCTGACCAATCAAGGACAGGATTACTGATTCAGAAGTTAGCGGTGACAAGATTGCCTTGCATCATTATAGGTCATGACACAAATCATAAAGGATGTTGCTATTTATATTAGATTTCAAGGCACATGTAGGAAAGTTACTAATTCCATTTTTCAGTATGTGCTGCAGTTGAATGTAAATTAAATTAATTAATAAAAACTGTGTTAGTTGACATTCACATAATATAAATGGCATCGAAGAATTTGTGTTTAATTATGCTTAAGTCAAATTAAATAACAAAAATTTACTATTAAATATAATTTATTTTTTATATTATTTCTCATTAGTACACAACTAGCATTCAGCATTATATTTAACAGTATTAATTAAATGCAAGAACTTTTAATGAACATCTTTTGGAAGGTAATAAATACAGCTTTAATCCATTTTGTATTGTTTCTTACAGGAAAATTTGTTTGAGTTTGAGAACAACTTTTAAGAATGAATTATGTTCAAAAACTGAGGTTTAACTGTAGTTGAATTATATTCTTTACTTAAATGCAAAATAGATAATTCCTGTATTATTTGCCATATTAATTATTATTTTATTTTTAAAACTGTAATTTGTTTCAATAATATAGTTGATTTAACAAAATTATATTGTTATGTTTTCCTTCCTCACATTCAATTATTAGTTTCCTGTTTTCATTTTAATTGTACATTTAAAAACAATACAGCTATTTATGTTATTTAAATAAATCAATATTAAATAAATTAATTACTGAACAATTACAAAGTCTTGTTTTCAGATATTATAATTTTCGATTTTTCAAGGTCCATTTAAATTAATATGAAATCAAAAAACTAAATTATGTTTTTAAATTAATATTATAATGAAAAATACATTTAATATTGCATAAGCATGTTTTTTTTAAATTGCTTTATTTTCTTATAAATGCATTATGAATTAGGTTTTTTGATGAAAATGTTGGACAAATTTATACTACTAAAAAATTAATATATTACACTTAAAAATCAATACCATTGGTTATGGCATAACAGATTTTTAATTTAATAGTTTTCATAATTTAATAACAACAGCATCTTCTATTTTCATATTTTATCAAAAATTACAAAAAAATATTTGAACTATTAAACATAATATTAAACTTAAAATAAACATCTATATTAGTATTTGTCAATTATAAATGCATTCCTAGTAATTATTTTGTTTTATTTCAACATAACTCATGATAGCTATTGAAGCAAACTTTTCAATGAGAAAAAGTTTTTTAAATAATTATACTACATTATTAACTAAGGTATATATACTAAAGCTTAATATAAAGAAAAGTATTCTTTTTAAAAAACATTCAATCAAGTAAAATGAGTTTTCTTTCAAATATATTTAAAAAATTTTTTTAAGAAAGTTTTATCTATTTTTTTTTAAATAAAACATTACTCCAGAAACTATCAAAACTATCTTTATGATTTATTTAATAGATACTGCATCTATATGCATAATAATATAAGATATAAAAACAACTTACCTGAACATTTGTTGAACTGCTTGCTTCAGTTGTATTTGAAATTACTGTTAATACTTCAACCGGTACTTCAATCTGTAAAATGAAAATTTATTTCTTTCATGCTCAAATTTACAGTCAAATTTATCAGTAATATATAATTATTACAGCTATTATTTAGCCTGATGTCATACAGTAGTTGTAGCTTTATTGTAATGTAATGGGTTTTGTAAAGATGTTTATATTTGTATATATATGCCTTGCCAGATATGCGATGGCCGGCTGAATACCTTATATGGAAGTTTACAGGACAAGGGTGCTGAATGTGTCCTCAGTCAGCACTGTGATAACTGATGATGGTTATATCATAATGTTAAATACACTGGAAGAGGAAATCGGACTGGAGGCCCAGGTAGCATAATTGGCAACACATCTGCACGGCAAGTGGCAGTTGCTGGTTTGAGTCTGCTCTGAGCCGATTCTTTTCTTCCAGTTTAATCTAAAATTATTTAATTAAATTATAATTATTAAATATAATATGAGATGGTGCCTAATGCCTCCCTCTAAGGTCAAATTTATCAGTAATTTATAATTATTATAGCCATTATTTAGCCCGATGTCATATGGCAGTTATAGCTTTATTATAATTTACAAAATTAAGTTAAATTTAGAAATTAGTTAATAATATGACATAATTTATAAGGACCTTGAATAAGTTCTCGCTGTTTTTTTGTGAAAATTAACACTTTATTTTAAAAAAGTCGTAATAAACACGTCACTGAAAGTATTGTCCATCACTAGCCACTACTTTCTCCCATCGTTCTGGCAGCATTTGAATTCCATGTCGGAAAAACGACACGTTTTTTGAGGCTATCCAAGAATCAACCCATTTTTTGGCATCTTCATAAGAACGAAAGTGCTGCTCAGCCAGGCCATGTGACATCGATCGGAACAAGTGATAATCGGAAGGGGCGATGTCTGGTGAATATGGCGGGTGGGGTAGGACTTCCCATTTAAGCGTTTCCAAGTACGTTTTCACCGGTTGTGCAACATGTGGCCGAGCATTGTCATGTTGCAAAATCACTTTGTCGTGTCTCTGCTCATATAGCGGCCGTTTTTCCTTCAATGCTTGGCTCAAACGCATCAATTGTAGTCGATAGCGATCTCCCGTGATAGTTTCGTTTGGTTTGAGCAGCTCGTAATAAACTACACCTAGCTGATCCCACCAAATGCAGAGCAGAAGCTTCGAACCATGGATATTCGGCCTTGCTGACGATGT